TTTTTTTTTTCTTTTTTTATATTCTCTTCATCCGACACATAACGTGCACATACATGGCCTCACGCACACATACACATAGACATTAACTAAAAATAAATATTTGAAATAAATGTTCACATAAATTTCAAGTTAGAAAAACCTCAACAATACTTATTTAAGATAAGAAATATTTATTTTTAGACAAAAATTTAATAAAACTATGTATTCACTTATCTTTATGTAAATCAAAACCTTGATTTGATTTAAGCTGAATAATTAACATTTTTATTCATTGAAATTGTTTTTTAAAACATTTTCTCACGTTATTACTTATTAAAAAAAAGATAAAATATCATTCTTTCAAAATAATTATCGTATTCTTCGCAGAAGAATTTCATTCCTTATTTTCTAATTTACTTTTTTTCAACAAGTACTCCATATCTAACTATGATAATTATGTTTAAGACTAGAAAAGAGAAATATTTTTGTCAATATGAATGTTATATTATGAATGAAGACATCCTTTTAGAATATAGATTAGTTATTTTATCATCTTAGAAATTTCATTAGGACATATCATAAATAATTTATTAATTAGAATGTCTTATTATTATTCGAATATTTTCTTTTTACAAGTTTATTAGACAGAAAATTCTCTCGAAATTCTATTAATAGAATTTAATTGTTGCAATAAATGATAGAGAGAGAGAGACAATAGAGTCCGATGATATCGTGATAAACTCTTACTTATTACGAGGTTTTACCAAGAGGGAACTAGCAGGCATTCAGCACCTGCCTAGCACCTGTTCGGCGTTTTTCGGTGCTGGATGGGAGCTCTTATCTCCTGAGTTTTTACCAAATGTCTCATTATTGATTTATGATTTTTTAAAGAAAAAATGAGTGATATTTTTCATTCTACAATTGAAAATTGTTGTCAGAAGAAAGTATAAAATTTTTTTATTCTTATCACAAAGACAAAGTTCGTTGCGGTAGATAAAAAGCCACTAAACCATCATTTCGGTTCACGTCAACAGAAAAAATGCATTGAAAATTAACTTTTCATGTATTTTTCAATGATAGAACTTAAATAAATTTGTTTCTTTCATGATCATAATATGAAACACATGATGATTTACTCACTTTATCACAAAAACATTGTAGACAATGTCCCGAAAATCATGATCATAACTTTTTATCACTATTTTTTAAGAATTGTCATGTCGGACATTATATAAATATAAATATATATGTAGATTTTGTTCTGTTTATATAATTCATCATTAGTTGTTATTAATTATTTTATCTTTTCTATATATTTCAATTGATCTAGTAAAATAATTCTATAATAGAATCAATATATTAATTAAAAATAAATCATTAATAAAAGATATCCATAAATCTATATTTAGTTTTATCATTTTTAATGAACCGCAAGTGTAACACCAGAAAAGATTTCCGATGCTAATTTTTCTTGATTGATATGACAATTTAACGATGTTTAGAAAGTTCTTAGTCATTCGTCATTCAATAAAATTCCTATACATCAAAAATTTTCTGTGATGGGACCTGGCGATGAAGTAGGAACTATTGCGTTAAAAATAATATTTATCTTATCGATCAATGATAGATATTGATTCTTTACTACAAAAACGATCGTCAATAATTAAATAAACACAATGAAAAATAAGAAATAAAGAATTTATTTACATATTTTATATTCACATGTTCATTTCTAACATTAATTATCTATCAAATCTTAAGAATTTTATATAAAGATCAAAAGTTTTCTAGAAAAAAATGTAATCCTATTTCGACTAATGAAAGAATAACATCAGCTGAATTATGAATTACTAGTGAAAATTCTTATCAAATAGAATTAATCGTCTCATTAGCAAAATCGAATAAATTGGAAAGAGAAAATAAATAAATGATAATAAAGTTATTGTTAAGTTATTTCTTCTCTTAATTGTCGAAAATCCAATAAGAGTAAATATGATTACATTTCAAACAGTTAAAAGATCTGAAAAAAAATTGAATGTATTATTATTTTATTTTCGAAAAATAAAATAAATATGTTTAAAATGAAAGAAAATAATATAAAATTAAAAAACAAATATTTGCAATGATTCATATTTTACATCTATATCTGTACTAATAAATTCTAAAAAGTTGAATTATTCTTTTAATTAACATATATATTCTGAGATTGTCTTAACAAGTGATTAAAGATTTAAAGAGAATAAAACATAAAATATATATTAATTCTTATTCTACTAGTAATAAACAAGTACTGACAAAAAAAACTCTAAATCATCGATCTAACATCTATTCTATTAAAATTTACCAATAAATATTGAGTAAAAGTAAAAGAATGATAATTTTCATCATGGAATTCATTTTATTGTTTTAAAAATCTATTGATTATTTTAGAATGTAGTTTTGTTAAGATATTAATAAATATTCTTTAATAATATTCAATTTGTCTAATATGAAAGATATTGAATATCTACGTATATTTTGATAAATAAATGAAAAAGAAAAGTTGAAATAAAAAAATGTTATTTTTTCATAATAATATTTAATGATCGTCTTCCATTAATAATTTTAGGTCGATGTTTTTCATAAATATTTGTTGATATTTCATAAGATAATTGTGCAATAGATTTTTTTAATTGTTTTTCGTCATTAATTTGTTTAATTTGAATAAAATAATTTTTTAAAATAAATATTTCTGCTCTACAATCATAACAATGATCAATTCCTTCTGTTTCAATATGATCTAAATCATTTTCATAAAACATTGTTCGTGTTCTATTATAAAAATATTTTATTGAATTTTCAAATTCTGAAATATTATATTGAATCATTTTAGCATTTCTTTCAACAATTAATCGACATTGAATTGATTGTTTTGAAGACCATAAATCTAATAAAATTTCTCCATTTAAATATTCGTATGTTCGTTGATGATAATGAGGAAGAGAAAATGTTAATAATGATGCATATGGTTTCATAATTTGATACCATTTCATTTGATTATTCATATGTTTATCTAGATCATTTTCATTTCTAGATGTTTTTATATTACAAATAAATAAAATATTTTCATATTTTTTAGAATATTCTTCTGCTAATTTATCGGAAAAATGTTCTGATTTGATTTCAATTTGATTTGTTTCATTTATAAGAAAATTTTCTTGATCAAAAAGAATAAATTTGATATAAGAAAATAATGAAGTAAGATAATTGAGATGTATTCCAGGTGCAGCACCAACATAAATAACAAAATTATTTTCTTTTGATGAAAATTCAGTTAAAAATTCAATTTCTGATAAAAGAATTTTTCGTTCTTCCCAATATTCTGTTGTATTGATTTCACGTGCATTTTTTATTTCAATTATTGATTTTTTAACTTTACGATTTTCATTTGTAAAATTTTCTTTATTAAAAATAATTTGTTCATGATTAATAAAAACTTCACGTAAATGTGGATTTTCATCATAAATACGTTGATCATTATTATTAAGTTGTAAATCTCCAACATCAAATCTTTGTTCAAATTCTAGACGTTTTAAAAGTTCTTTTTCATCATTAGATAATTTTGATCGATCAATAGAAGATGCAATTAATGGAAATTTACTTTTTCGTACATTATTACTATTTTCAGAAGAACATTGATTTTCATCTTTTATTCGTGGAACATTTCCTCTTTCTTTCGAAAATCTAAAACATTATTATTTTAAAATCATCAGTTTTTTAGTCTCTTTCTCTCTCTATATATCAATTTTTAATATCTGATGTCACGAAGAAAAGATCTTTAACTCTGAAGAAAGTTTTGCCTATAACTATTTGTTTAAATGAAATAAAAGAAGAAGTCTGTTGAAAAGTTTTTCTCGTTATTTTCACAAATAATCATTATATATTATTTGAATGAAACTTACTTTCGTGATGTTAATAATGGTCGAAATAATTTCATCATTTCAATAGACCATTCAATATCATTCATTGCTCTATGATTAACTGTATCTCGTCCATTTGAAGCAATTTGTTTTGAAAATTTTGATCCTGTTTCAGGTGCCCATCTTTTGATCATTTCATAAAATGAACTAACATCAATAACACGATAATGAAGATAATCATGAACAATAGGCATTTCAACTTTTAAAACTTCTTTATCAACATGAATTGAACTACCTGCTAATGGACAAGCTTTTTCTGGACAATGAGATTTTAATAGATCTAATAATTCCTTCTCCATTTCTTCTTTTCTAATTCTTGAAGCTAAAACATCTTTAAATAATCCATTTCCACCATCATCAATATCTTTAAATGCATTTTGATGCCATTCACCTAATTCAGAGATGGTCTCTTCATCGAAATGAACAACCCATTGTTCTAACAAATTCAAAAAACATTTATCATTTTTAATAAAAAATATCCTAGAAAAAAGGTTTCTGTGACGATTGACTAAATTATTTTCGTATAAGAATAAAGATTAAATTTTTAAAACTGAAAATATTGAAAATTAATCATTATTGCTAACTTTCTATTTCTTTTTTATTTGAAACGTTCGAAAACTAAGAAAAACTTTTATTAAAAACGAATTCTAATGATTATTCTATAAGTAGAAAATAAAATTTTAATTTAAAATAATCTTTAAATAAGAATTCTATTTCTATGTTTTAACTATTATATATTTACAGTTTTTCTACAAAATATGTTAAAAAGATTTATCTAGAATCTTATTATCGAAATCTTAATTTAAAGAACATGTAGAATCAAAAAAAAATTAATATAATATAAAAGTGAATTTACTTCGTTGAATTTCATTAAGATCTTTATCAGTAATAATAACAGCACATTCTAAAATTTTTGGATTTTGAAAAGATGTAAATTCTAAATCCATCCAAACAATATTCATCATTTTATCTTTTTGTTGTTTAATTGCAAATTGATCATATGTTTCTTTTATTGTTTTATCATCATCAAATTCAATTAAAAGATCTAACATATCCCAATCTTCATTTAATTTTGCAAGATCAATTGGAGTCAAACCATCTGATTCACGTTTAAAAAATGTTCGTAATTGATATTTTGTAATAACATGACGAACAACTTCCAAATAATTTTTATCAACAAGTTCATGTAATAATGTATTTTTAGTTTTATTTGATAAATTTCTCCATGAATTTACTTGACGAACATTAAATTCATCAAAGATTTCATCAAGTTCTTTTATAATATTATTTTGAGAAATTTTACTTTTTAAAAGTTTTTCTAATTTTTTATTGAGATCTTTCATCGACATTTTTGATTTTATTATTTTATCTAAAAAAAGAAAGAATTGACTAAAGAAAAGCATTGTTTAAATACACATTTTTTGTATAAGATACCGACGCAAAATAAAAGAACTTACAAGAATAACAACAGAATGGAAAAATTATTCTATTTTACTTCGATTACTCACATTGGGAAAAAAAATAAAGCAAGAAGAACAAAAAAGAAATGTTAATGTCTTTAAAAAAAAGCAATGATTCATTGAATCGATAGAAATTGCAAGTTTAAACACGAAAATAATACAAAACATTTTCTTTTTCTTTTTCTTTTGACGTCAAATATAATAAAATCAAATTATTAATACAGATCAAAATTTTTCTTTCTATTTATAAAATATTCTGTCAATGGGAAAATATCTATCATTAAAAAGTAACACGTTATAAATTGAAATATTAACAAGATATTTAATATACAAAAAACAAGAAAATATTATTTCTTTCAATAAAACAAATTTTGTTTATTTTAAAGATAATTAATAAATTATAGATTTATATTTAATATATGTAGTTTGGAATAAAAGATATACAATTCGACTATTAATTATTACTATTAATTAAAATTAATTTATTTAGATTTTTATAAGAAATAATAATTCTTAAATGAATTATAATTTTTTCTATTTTATTATACTTTACAAATATTAATAACAGTATTTTACTGCTAGTAATTGTTTCGAAAAGAAAACGATTTATTTATAATAGATACGAAAAAAACTAAACACAATATTCTAGTCTAAATATAAAATAGTTCTATAAATTAATCTAACGTGTTTATTTGTACAACTGATTTTTATTTGACAAATTGTTCTCGTAGTTTATCAAAAGTTAAAATATATTTCTTCAGTATTATTATTATTTTCAATTAGATATTTTCTTATTACTTTAAAACTAATTCGATTGAAATGAAAATATCTTTAGCCTTGTTATTATCAGATGAACGTTAATGGTAGAAATAATTATTAAAAAAATCATATGCAATAAGGGTGAGTGTGGTTATTGATATTATATGAATCACACACTCACACCCTCAAATACATGCAAAGTACTTGTAAAGTTGATCGAAGAACTTGAAAATTAACTTCAGATACAAAAGTTCACTGTTTCCCTCGTTGATATCTTCATCCAATGTTATGCTATAGGACTGAAGATTTTTTCATGGTATACGCCTAACATATCCTGAAAATGTTAGTCAGTTTGGATGTATCTGAACTGAGATCGTTTTTGAGGGGAAAAAATCTTAACGACGTTGCATAGAAAAGATACTTGTAATACTCATTTTAGTGATATCACTTATTGACAAAGCAATTATAAAAAAACATAAGAATGTAATTTAATTTTAGTTTGAATATATTTTAAATTTTTAAAAACCATTTTATCGTATTTTGTACATGAGAATAATCAATTTGCAAAATGGCTGTATACAAACAGTATGGATCTCGTTCTTCACGTTGATAATAATCAATGTTTCTTGTTTCAACTATGCTTTTATATTATCTTTTGAAAATGATCTTGAGATGGGTGTGGGTATGAAACGGAGGGATACCTTCACCTTATACGTCGGCATTTTAGCTGTCGACATTTTATTACCGACAGTTGACTACTAAATTTATTGTAATAGTCATTCATGTTGCGTTACATAAAAGAGAAAAAGAATTGTGATCGTTTGATTCTCACTCATACAGCTCTAGGCAAATATCTGTTCTATTCTCTTTTCTTGGTATGCATCAAGGACGTTTTTTATCAAGTTTATTGTCGATCATAAAGTTAATATCAATACTTTATTTGAATACAATCTATCACCAACATTTGCTTCAATCAACAATCGTATATATGTCCTGTGTTACTATCGACCAATTTTGCAGCCAAGTCAGTCGATAAAATGTTTCATGTCATTTTAAACTTCATGTTGCGGCTTGCGAATCGTTTGCATGTTTATTTTGCTTAGTACAACTCCAGATAAATATCTGTTCCGTCTTCTTCTTCTTAATTTTCTAATTAGGTCACAAGAATACCTTCTTATTCGATCAGTGATAATGCATGAAATAAAGACGCGCGCCGATCGATCACTTTTCCTCATCTCTTTATGAGACATGAATGAAATTTGTATAGAATTTCCCGTCCAGGATCCAACTTTTCCATCAAATTCTATTTTGAATTTTAACCTAAAAAGTTGCTTAAATAAAGGCTTCCATCAGACTAACTTTTGAAGAAAACTAGAATTTTTAAACAAAATTCTGCTAACAGATTACTTCTTATAGAATAGTGTAGTCGAGGCCATTATGTGGGCAAAGTTTTAAGCTATAGTTCGAAAAGATAATTTTGCTGAAAAACTGGAATCCTCGATGATAGAACCAATAAAAACTTCACATCTTAGTGGAATCTCAATAAGAGTAAGAATCCTTTGAAAACAGGGTGTTTTAGTTTAGTAGTCAGCAACTACTAGACAGAATAAGAGATCAAAAGTTTTAGTGCACATTTTTTGTCATTTTTTTAGCAATTGATACAGCGTTGTTCCTCTGTCACTAAGCGACCATCATTTTTCAGATGATCAAACATTTAAATTTCAGTTTCGGTTCTATATCGATGTCGAGTTCTGGACTATTTCTTGACGAATGAACTATTCTGTATAAATTTACTAATACATACATATGTTTCAGATTCAATGTTACTCAAAAATAACTTTTATTTAATTCAAATTGTCTTCCTGATTGCAGTTCTACATGCAAGATTCTGCAATGCTAGATACTCTAACATTCTCAAGCGTGCACAACTTGTGCATAGTTCGTCAGAAGGATCCATCACAGACATTGCCGGTATACTAGTTGGTCAAAGTTCAAAATCAGAACGTGCCACCGGATGTACTGTCATACTATGTAACACGACGTGTGTTGGTGGTGTCGACGTCCGTGGATCAGCTCCTGGTACGCGTGAAACCGATCTTCTCGATCCCATTAATAGAGTAGATATTGTTAACGCCATTGTTTTAACCGGTGGTAGTGTATTTGGACTCGATGCAGTATCCGGTGTAGTTCGATATCTTGTTGAGAAAAATATCGGTTTTCAGACCTCACATCGTCGTGTTCCTATCGTACCAGCTGCTGTACTATATGATTTGAATGTGGGTGATGATCCGTTTGTAGTACCTGATGCAAACTTAGGTTATTCGGCTTGTATGTCCGCCAGTAACAGTCGCGTTCATGAAGGTAATGTTGGTGCTGGAAGTGGAGCTAGTATTGGAAAATTATTTGGCAATGAATATGCTATGAAAGGAGGAATTGGCAGTACTTCAATAACTGTACGGGATTCAGTGACAAACTCGACAATCACAGTTGGGGCACTTGTCGCAGTTAACGCTGTTGGGGATATATATAAAGATGGGATACTACTAGCCGGTGCTCGAACTAGTGACGGGAAGCATCTCAGAAACACGGTAGAAACCCTACTTAGCATAAATTCCAGCACCTTTGATAACTTTCCGACTGGAACTGCAACCACACTTGCTTGTGTCGTGACAGATGCCAAATTAACTAAAGCTCAAGCCAAAAAAATCTCGCAGATGGCTCACGATGGATTTGCTCGAGCGATAAATCCTGTTCACACAATGTCTGATGGAGATGTCGTGTTCACGTTGGCCACTGGTTTATTTTCTATTTCTGACGTTAATCTTATTGGTATAATGGCAGCTTATGTTGTTGAACGTGCAATCGTTCGAGCCGTTGAGCAAGCAACTAGTCTTCCTGGTTTTCCTAGCGTAAACGACCTTAATTCGAAAGGTCAGCATCTTTCATTCAACATTATATTGTCAGCACTACTGTTTTTATTTTCAAATCGGCTCTTGAAATGCTAAAATAATCGAAGCTAATCCACAGTAATTCTAGTTTTGGCATTATGCCACATCGTCTAAAGCTGAAGATTATAAATGAATTTTGCGAAAGCCACATATAGAAAATATATAGTTGATCTTGAAATGGCAATAAATTTTTTTTCCTCTTCCAGACTCCATCCGCCTTATAACGCGGCAAACCTACACACGCAGACAGGTCAAAAGTCAGCGTCGAACGCGAGATTTTGTAGGGCTATTGAATAGATATTTCTATTTACTCCGACATAGTATTATTAAATGTAAGAGATACTGATGCAAACGACTAGGGTAGTACGCGAAGCGACGGTAGTTGTTGTTTCGATGCCATTAATCGCTCGTTAAATCTCTTGATCATCTATGAACTGGAGTACTTCTGTTTCCTGCGTCGACCACGAGAGACGTAAAGATTATTTTGAGTCAATAACTATATCGAATGGAATTTGAACTCCGGATAAAAAAATACGAAATGCGGTGGATATTTTCGTGATGGTGAGTGTTCGACAGAATACTCATAGTAGATTGACAACATCTTTCAACAGTGCGTTTTTCTCGTCTTAGCTATAGAAAAAAAAGTCTAAAGATCTTTGTCTTCTCTGGCTTTTATTTGTCTTTTCACATATGACCTGAAAGGTCAATCTATCTTACAATATAATATGACAATAGGATTCTGATTGCCAAATTTTAAATTCTTCAATTAACAGAATTCTTACATGTGAATACTGGGATTTGAACTTGTCATCCTGTTTTACGTGACAAAGTCACTTATTTTTTCCTCTCTTTATTAAATATTCAGCAGTTTAGTACAAAAATGAACCCGACTTAACTGAACCAATTTCAAATAATCGGTTTGGTTCCATCTTTATCTTACAGGATGACAGTATAGTGTGAACAGTAGCTACACTTGATACGGTTTCTACGCTAGAGAAACTAGCTGAGTCTGTGTGAAATAATTTTTTCTTCGATTGTTTCTATATTGTTTGACGAGCGTCTTTTCTTTGTAGGCCCTGAAACCGTAACCAATATTGTGTCATACTCGAAAAACAATTACACGTAAGCATCTGTCGAAGAAAAAAACTGGCACTTACAAAATTCGTACATTGATCGATATAAAACGATCATAACAAATATGAATGAATAGAAATATGAAATGATAGAGAATATCCTGGCATACACTATTAAAAAATACATCAAGGGTGTGGATGTGTGTGAGGATATGAGTGGGTGGGTGTGAACAGCTATCACAATCTATTTATTTCATGGCAAGTATGACCGTGTGACATTGAGCGATTATATCAGTTGTGATATGAACTGAAATAATTAGTATGGAGTCACACATCCGTCAAAATATTAAGTGACACAAGCTTTTGTTTTTGTCACAATTTCTTTTGAAACAATCATCAGCATTATAATTTAATTAATGTTATTATCAGCTGAACAGAATAACGGTGAGTAACTCGATCTGTGGTTATCATTAACAATCCATAAAATATATTTAATGTATATTTTTTAGTTAAATAATCTATAGTTAGAAATATAATTAAATAAAATAAAATAAAATAAAATAAAACAAATATACTTATTATTCATTTTCGAGGTGAATAATCCAAAAATAAAAAACTAAGATTCTGTTAAATAAAGAAGTAGTTAGAAAGGATGTGCTTCGAAAACACATTCTTTTAAATATATGATATTTATTTAACATTTATAGGATGAAGCGGTATAAGCATATCACCTTGAGTATTTCTGAAAACTCATGAGTAATTTAATCACTGAATTAATTGGAAGCGAATAAGAGAAGTTTATATTGTATTTCCATTGTTGAAACGTCTCTAAATTTTCATTAATTATTTTGTTGTTTGTTATGATGAAGCCATTTAAAATAGTTTAGGTGATGAAAATGTGAAATAGTGGATTAGTCTATAAATATCAAAGCAATTATAGAATAAAAATCATTTATAATTAAAAATAAAATTCTAGATTCGATCATTCAAATGAAACATACACTTTGTTTATTAAAAAGAAAAAAAAATGCACAATTTATTGTTATTTGGTGAGTAGCATAAGTTGTTATTGATCTATTGTATTAATAAATAAAAGTATTATAATTTTACATTATCTATTTCAATTGTTTTACCTTAATATGAATAAAAACTAATTAACCATAATTATTAACCCAAGAAAATAAGCCATATGCTGGACAGATTCGATAATGCTGCTGATTATGTTGATGGTAACAATTTACGTGAACATAATGTCCACACATATATTGGACATAATCAAGGCTATTATTATTTGTTAAAATAATAATGCCACCACATAAGAAGCACGATATTATAGCCATAATAAATTGATAAAAAATATCTGAATTGACCATAATCACAGATGTACTTAAAAGCTAAAGTAAAACAAAGAAGATAGTTTATTATTTATTTATTTAAAATATAAAGTAGAAGAAAATTGATTACCCACAAGGCAAGTATTGTTATGGGGGTGGTGATCATAAAAAACAGTCTTCGTGTTCACAATGACCGCATTCATATTCAACATAGCCATCGTCTGCGCGTGGACATATAATTTGATGCGCCATAGTTCATATATAAAGTAAAGTGTAATCTAAAACAATAAATATAGAATTTAATTATCCATTCAATGATAGAAAAAAAAGTAAGTTAACTATTATTCTTAAATAGAATTCAATATTTCAAATTATTTTTCTCTATTCGTATCTATTTAACTATTAGATCTAGTATTTAATGATTCATATCTACTATATACTACTATATCCTAATGTATCATATTAAAATTATTCTTATTTTTCTTTTTAAGTTTGAACTGAACTAAAAGAAATGAGTTTAAGTGCTTGCATACCTTTTATTTTTTAACAAAATTTTCGGTGTAAGCTCAGAAGCGGCTAGCTCGATGACACGATCGATGTACCAATCGAGATACTGGGCTACAAACTTCTCCCGTTGTCTCAGATCTTCCGAATTACGACTGGTAGGAAGTGCAAGCTTTTTGAACAGTTTCTCTTCGCACGTCGAGAAAGCTGTACGTTTAACGACTTGTTCGCTGGTGTGGAACTTGAGTTTTTTTTGTTGCTATTGATTCAGTCAAATTTTTTGTTTTTTCACTATGTATATCTGCTGGTGTACGTAATGAAACTGTTGATGAGTTCGAGCTGGTGTCTCGGCAAAAGATGCACTCAATAGTGTCATTTTGGATGAACGAGGTCACACTGGACTGAGACATTGTTTTTTTGACACGTACCTTCTTCATATTTCTGGTAGTTGTTGTATTACTTGTTTTGGTGTGACCAATTGAAGCTATTCATCTCGACTTATGAGTATTGAAGCTGTTAGAGTTGTCGTCGGCTTACTCATTGTGTAAACATTTGTATTGTTTTGAAGAGTATGAGTTACAATGAAAAAATTGACTTTTATGAATTTTTTTATATCTAAATGATAGACAAATACATTGAGTTTTTATTTATAAGAAAAGACATCAAACGTATTATTCAAAAGTATCACCTTCAATTGAAATACAAACATGTAATATCTTTTTCATTTCTAGGAAAACATTATACGACGTTTCGTTTTTAATCGATTGAATTTCTTGACTTATTCTGATCTTTAAATCATCCAGATGATGAGAGTGAGAGATCGATACATCTCCTACATTCACCCTCTCAATGTAATACGCATCATTTTAAGAAAAAACTCATTGAAATACGAAGACAGTAACAATTTATATAAAGGAATCTACATACAATCGTCATAATTACTTATGCAAACGTATTAGAAATATTTATTTTCGATACTATCTTGTTTATAAATTATAATTTAATGTATTAAAAACTGTCTATGAGCTCTGAATTAGGATTGACGAATATATGTTGCAGGCAAAACTGAGATCTAACTAGAGATAAATTTATACAGTCACGTTGTTTTCTAAAATTCTAGTAGATGAAAAAAAAAGCGAAAATTGGAATCAAAGCGATGGTGTTGATAATCAGTAAAAATACAGATGTACGCATCATTATCTTGTAAAAAAATGTCTGAATCAGATTCAACAAACGTCGAAATAGAAAATGGTGAATCACTTCATTGTAAAGAATTAGAAAAACATATTATTTTCTGATGTAAACGATTTTGAGCAAAGAGTGTTATAAAACAAGATGAGTATAGTAATATTGTTAAATGTGTATTATTATCTTCGACTAAAAATAGTTAAGCTATTCAGATTGTAAGCATTTATCTCTAATCAGTTCCCGATTTTGCCTACAACATATACGTACAAGAGACAGCACCAGTAGAAGAGTATATTTTTTCTATCGAAGAAAAAAAATACTACCGAGAAAAACGAATAACAAAGCCAATGGATTCTTTCTGAAAACAGAACAGGAGAATCCCTCCTCCATCATATAAAACAAAAGAAGAAAAAGAGAGTAGAAAGAATCTTATCTATAATAACATTTTTTCAAGTATAAAAAAGAAAAAGAAAAGGAAGCGTTAACAATATGATTGCTAACACTGTCTTTATACTAATATCAAATATAATACAAATATATAAATAATTATTGTATTAAAAGATTTAGGAAATATGAATTTATTTCGATTCTCTTGTGAATATTAAATCTTTAAGTAAATCTAAAAAAGTACTTTCGAACTTCTTTTTTTTCTGAATATTTATTTACAATAAGTTTTTTATTTTTATTCTCCTGATTTTTCTTTTGTTCGTATAAAGTAAATTGAGATTATATCATCTATTGAATATTTATTTTATTAATGAAGGAATATAATGATATTTTTTGTTCTTTTCTATAAATTTTTATAATTCGTAATATTCAGAATTCTAGTACTAGAAAAAATAAGGAGATAGTTTTTGTATCATAATTTAAAAGAACCTAAAAATGAGTATAACTTTTGTAATTATATGTTTAATTGATAGAATAATAATTAAAATGCTTAATAATATAAACGAGCAAATTTTCACACAAAAATTGAGACAATCTAAATTATATTTCGATATTGTTTCAGTAAGACTGTTAACATAGACTGACTGACACAGTGTATGATGAAATCTCATCAGTCTCGGCAATACTTTAGCTCAGATATAAAATTGTGATGATAAATACAGATTAAAGATCTGTTTAACTTGAACATACTTTGAAAGCAGATTGTTAGAATAATTCCATAAATAGAATAATTTTTTTTTAAGAAAGACAAAGAAGAGAATGCTAATTTTCTTATCTATATATTAAAAGTTGTAAAATTTTTATAAACAAATAAAATACGGAAGAACTATTATAGCAAGTTAACAGAAAAATCTTGCATAAATTATATTTTAAATATAACAAGAACTATTTGAAAAATGGTACATTGAAAAGTTTTGAATTATAATGAGATAAGTAAGTGTTGTTCTTGACAATTTATAAATAGTTGTTTGCAATTGATATCATAATTCTAATATTTAATTATGTATATCTGCAAAGAGAATAATGTGACATTTTTCTTTCTCAAGAAAAAATTTAATTCTAATGTTCCTAAATAATATAAATTGTTTTTGTAGTTTTTCTTTTCTCATTAAGTTTTCTTTATAGAATTATAAGAGAAAATCTTTGAATAGTTTGATAGATTTATCAATTTTTAATCTACTATTACAAATAATTGTAAGTTCTATGGAAATGGTAAACTTCATGAACGATTCGACATTGATCAAAACAGAATTATGGTTTCTTGCTTTCGATATTATTAGTATTATATCTACTTTATTATCTATTATATTCGGTCTTTTATATTTATTTATTATTATAAGACATAAAACATATTCACCAGTACAAATGCTTTTAGTATGCAATTCATCTGTAGCTATAATTCTTTTAAGCTGTATACTACTCAATATGGCAATATTCACATTACAACATGATTTACAGCAGAGTAGTGAAAAAAATAATCCATTTTGTATCATTTTAGGTTTCTTCGGATATTGTACAGATGGTCTTCAGAACTATTCATATTTATTAACAGCCGTCTATCAATATATATCTGTAGTCTATCCAAATAAAATTATATGGCGAACAATTAAATTTCAATTTTGTCTTATACTTGTAATTTGGATTGTCTGTATTTTGTATAGTCTTCCATTATTAGTGACTGGACAAATAATTTACAATATTGACAATCAAATTTGTCAAATACCTCTTCGTTTATCTCTACCAATGGTCTATGTCGCAACAATTATCTATATCATTCCTAATTCCGGTATTCTTGCTGTTTATATTAAATTGACTCGATATGTTCATCGAATGAGTTCTCGTGCTATATCAAATCATACTATATTTCATGCTCGACGAGAATTAAAACTTGTTCAACGTACTTTTATTCTTAGTAATACTCTTATTGTCATTGGTTTACCATATATGATATTTGTTTTAATGTCCTTTTTTACATCTCCACCAAAATATCATTTTCGTATTGCTTATATATGTGCTGATATATCTGTATTAGTCGTTGTAATAATTGGATACTGTTTTACACCAAAAATTGGAGCGATTCTACGAAAGAAATTATCTCGATCAACTCCAGTCGAACCAATAACAATAAGATATACAGCTAGAACATAATATTACGCTTGATTTGTACTCTATCACTCATATATATATGTTGGGGTCAAAATTAGAATTGAGTCAAATTCTAAATTTGACCAGACAAAATTGGATTTCTAGTTTTGACCAGGCAGAATTAGAATTCCAATATAGACCAGTATTTTTTTAGACAAAACTGGAATTCTAATTTTGACCAGACAAACTTAGAATTCTATTATAGACTAGTATTTTTTTTTTGGGGCAGAATTGAAATTCTAGTTTTGACCGAACGGACTTAGAATTCTACCATATACTAGTATTTTTTTTTGAACAGTATTAGAATTCAGATGAAGATAAAAAAATTCGATTGAAATTCGAAGTTTATTCGGTGAAAACTAGAATTTCAATTCTGCCCAAAAAAAAATACTGGTCTATAATAGAATTCTAATTTCGTCTGGTCAAAATTAGAATTCCAGTTTTGTCTAAAAAATTACTGGTCTATATTGAAATTCTAATTCTGCCTGGTCAAAACTAGAATTCCAATTTTGTCTGGTCAAATTCTAAATTTGACCCAATTCCAATTTTGACCCCAACATATATATATATTTGAACTAATTATATGTAATTTTAAAAGATTTTATTTATTTAAAATCTATATAAGATTAATTGAATGTATTTAAATAAAAACAAAGATTTTAGAATTTTTATAATAAAGAAACAATTTTATAAAATATTCTTCGGTATATTTGATTCTCTTATAGTAGAATCTATAGGAGTGGCCCATGAATTACAATTACTCATTTGAATTTGAATTTGACGTTGAACAAATCGTCGAAAAGGTCTTTTTAATTCTTTTCGAAAACGTTTACTTGATAAAGTAAATAAATAGAAACTTGAACAAGGACCAGTATTAGATAACATTCCAACAATCGCGATAATTAAATTTTCTTTTGCTATATCAACAATAGTTTTTTGTCGATTGGAATTTTTTGCTAGAATTATAAATGCAATAGTAAACATTAATCCTGTTGTACTATAAATTAATACTTGAACAAGTAACATTCGAGTTAATTGTCTTTCAGATTTTCTTATTTTTCGTACTTTTTTAGTATATGTACCAATTACTATTTGAAAATCATTTTTTCGATCAATTTGACGTAAAGTTAATGATCCAAAGAAAAGCATACATAATGATGGAACTGAACCAAATACAATTAAATTAAAAAGAGACGAGATTTTACGATATAATCCCGGTCGACCACCACTATGACATACAGGTTGATTTGTCATTGGTGAAATATTAATATTAAAACCTATTAGAATATGAATATTTATAAGAAAACCAATAAGAAGGGTAAGACGAATAGTTTGAGAAGCTACATGAGCATTACTCCATGATCTTTTACGCATCGATGAAGAACTACATAAATAACGATCGATACAAGCCAGAACAACAAACCAAAAAGATAATAATCTAAATTAAAAAAAAACTTATTAAGTTATATATTTATTCAAATAATAATTTTAACATACCGAATAGAGTATAAAAGAAACCAAACAATTTTACATATGTATATTGAATGTACAGTAGGATCTAATCCAATATATCCTGATTGAATCAATCTCATTGGTAATATAAAACATGCACTTAAAAGTCCAAAAATAGTAGCAACACGAAGATACATAACACATGGATTTGATCGTAATGAACGACGAGTAAAAACAAAAATACTTAATGAATGACCAATAATAGCAAGAGGAATCATTAAAAAACAATAACATCGAATAAATGTCATACTAAGCCAATTTAAATATTTTGCTTCGAATTCGATTTTTGTTTCATTGGAATATAACATTTCTTTTTGATAAGAATTGTTGTTCTATTTATTTAAAATATTTTTTAAATCATTTCATATATCGAATATATTAGAAAAATCTACAAAGAATATTTCAATATTTTTATGTTCAAATGCATATATATAAGAAGAATAAGTTATACTATAAAAGTGTATATACATTTCAACTATATAGAACATAATCATACAAAGATAGACTCTCTAACTACAAGATTAAAAGGAGTATTATAGAATTTTCTAATATCTCTATTATTTCCTCTTTTTTCCACATTAGTCGAAATTTTGAATACACATCGCAAAATAAATTGTTAATTATAGTTTATTTTGTAAAAATAATACTTATCTATTCTTTATATTCTAGACAACTTTTTTAATTGCATACCAAGGGTTAGACAGTCTAGAAAGAGTATAAATACAACGTATTCCTATGAATTATTAAAATAGATAAGTATTTCCGTCTTCTCTAATATATTTATTTACCTTATACTGTTGTAGTCAGACTGTATGTTGTCTTTATAGATTATCACAATATATAAAACTTATCTTTTTATGTTACTGAAATTAGTTAATCTAAATGTGTGTGCAGTGTTGTTATTCTTGAGTGGATGTACATTGAAAAATTCTTAATTAGAGAACAGATTAGTGATTATTAAAAGATCCAAGTCGCGTAGTTACAATAGTATAAAGCAAATAAATATATTAAGAAAGACTTAAATACTTATCTTTTTTAATAACTAATATTTTATTATTCATTACAAATAAATTCTACTTTTTTCATTTTTTAATATTTCATAGAAATACTTTGTATTTATATTCTATTTAGACTATCTAACCTTTCATATGCAATTAACAAAGTTGTTTAGAGTATAAAGAGAATAGAAGAGTATTATTTTTACAAAATAAATTGTAATTAAAAATTTATTTTAGAATATATACTCAAAATCTTGACTAATATAACAAAAAGAGGAAATAATAGCGATACTAGAAAGTTTGCCTTCGCATCAGTATATAGGAGAACCTCATAATTATGTTTTACATAATTGAGACATATATATTTTTAAAGAACTTTAAAAAAAAACAATGACAATTACTGCAGTTTTTCAATACATTCATTCGTTAAATTATTGTACAAAGAACTCCGACTATCGTATATATATGAAAAGACAGTAATTACAGTAGAAAGATTCTTGGTTCACCCTGCTTTTTCATTTCGTGAAATTAAACAAACTCAAGAAAATGAGAGATCAAAGTTTATATATTTAGATTATAACCAGTCTCTAGTAGGATAAATCATGTCACATTCTAATATTTGTTTCGTTTTCTGATTAAAAAAGAAGAATATAAGAATCAAAAAAGTAGAAGTATACCAACTATTCTTTGACTTACCGGTATATCATTTGAATTCTAAGTGACAGTTAGAAAATAATGTCCTAAATCGTTTTTTTCTTTCATTCTAATTGTATAGTTAATTATCTATGACAGTCAAGTTCTTTAATTTACTTTTTCTGAGCTCATGTCACTTTTCTGCAACTTATGTATGACGGTATATTTTTCAATTATTAAAAAATTTGACAATCGGAAATATGTTGTCGCTCAATCAATCATCTAGATTTCTATTCTAATAACATCTTATCATCTAATTATCCTTATCAATCGAACTTGTTAAAGTACAAGAAAATCTTTCTTATATTTAATTGTATTTTATTATTGTTTGATTATGTAATTCTTTGTGAGGTATGATTGATATATATGTGTATTATATTTATCTTTATTTTTACTTTTTTTTATATTCTAAATCGTCTTATGATAGTAAACAAAAGATGAAAAAGTTTTTCTTGACAGATTCTCATTTATCAAAACAAGTTGTTTCATTAATATTAACGTCACACACATGCATTTAGATTTATTTGACATTAGAATTAATAAGACTCATTAATCTAAGTATAAAAGATTTCTATTCGATACAAATTGTTTATTAAATGTAGAAATTTGTTTTTTTTTAAATATTTTAAATTTTAATCTTAACTAATTCAATTAAATATTTAATTAGAAAATTTATTCAATAAACTAATATGAAAAATTCGATCTAAAGATTGAATATATATATTATCTTACATTGTTATTGCATTTCTGTTTGTGCTAAAAGAATTAATGAAACATGTAGTTTTTGACAAATAATAGATAGATAGATAGTCCTCTAATGTAAGAGGAGGAAATGGAGAAAAAAATTGCAATTAATAAAAAGACAAAAAGAATAAGTTAGAAACGAACAAAGCTATATTAGAAGAATATCTTACGGTTTCCGATAGATATTATTAAAAAAGATCTTTTTTCGCACTCTTTTATTATAGATTTTCTTATAAGAATAAAAAAAGAATAGAATATAAAACATATATATTTATCATATTAAATTCAATTGAAATAGAAACTATTCAGCTTAATTAATTATTCGAAGAAAATAATTGAAAAAGTTATTAAATAAATGTTTCTTTTTCTAGTGTTCATATATATTCTAATATATCTTACAAGAAAATTCTACTCAAATATATTCAACAATTGTTTAGTCATCATATCAATTAAAAATGTAATTGGAAATGAGATTCTTTTTCTCATATCTAAACATTCAATTAAATCTATTGTAAAATACGTTTCTACAACACAAAAAAACTCGATGATAAAACAAATATTAGATTTTCTACCTTATTAAATCAAATTTAATTTATTCATATTTCATAAAATCGAATGTCTACAGTTAACAAAGTATTTTTTCTAACTAATTATTCATTAGAGTCTTATTTAATAAGAAAATTTCTTTTAACAATACTCCATACATTCATATGAATAGATAAAATACTTTTCACTTATCAATTTTTCTAATGATTGATTTTAAAAAAAGAGAAAAATGAGATTAAAAACTATCAATAAAGATAAAATTAGAAATAAAACTGTACTTTAACATTTCTTATATAAGATGAAAAGAAAAAGAACTTTCTCGTACCAATGAGCAAGATTTATCTCACTGAAAATAAGAATATTTCCATAATACTCTATAGAAATGCCATAAAAGATTCATGCTAAACATGATGTTCATATGCAAATCATACACTTAGAATAACAATCAATGCTTTTTCGAAAGGAATAAAACAAAACTATATGTTTACTATTGATTATTATAAATAAACAAACAAAAAATAGATTGTCAACATTAAATTAATATTCTTGTCAATATGATCTTAACTATCTATGCATTGTACAATTCTAATCATCAATTGGAAAAGTAATATTTATAAGAAATTATTTCTATTGAAAAAGAGAAAAAGAAATTTCACTTGATTTTTATTTCATTAGAATTTATGTTTACAATTCTTAAAGCAACTTTAGATATAAGAAGAATCAATAACAAGATTTAATGAAAAATAATCTTCATCATTTGAAATAAATTTCAACATTCTTTGAATATTTTCAAGATAGGATATATTTATCTAATTTCTATTCTTGTTCTACTTTTTTTAAAGATGTTACTTTACGTTTAGTTTTATTTAAATAAAGAATAAAGATAAAAAACGTTTAGAAAATAAATAGAAAGAAAATCTTTATCTTTACAAAATAATAAATAAAGAATTCTTTTGTTTTATCGAAATGTACTTTTTTTATTTTCCTGAGGTAACTTACAAAAAATTAGAAGATTTTTCGTATATATTGTCTCTTGTTTTCATGATATGACATATAAAAATGATGATAATGATGATAAGAAAGAACACTAGTTAACGTATTCTATTATTATACAGAATATTTGCATATGTATTTATTCCACGAAAAAAAAGTATTTTTATTCTTTATTTTATTTTCCATAATATTATCATATTTTCTAGACCTTTTCAAATTCTTTCTCATAATCTTTAACAAATAACAATAAATTATTAACTTTTAGAAAAATATCAGTGTAGAATAATAAACCCTCCAGAGTATCTGACTAGTAATATATCATTAAAAGGTTGATTAAATTTATTAATCCTTTGAAAAAGCATTTTTTATTCTACGGCTTTTCCTTAAGGATACCTTAATAAATGCTTTTCCCAATGATTTAGAAATTTAATAAATCTTTTAAGGGTACATTATTAGCCATACCCTACCAGATTTATGAAAATGCAATGTATAAAATATCTTCTTTATGGTTTATTATTCTAAGTCGATTTTTCATAGTATACTGTATATTATATACATAAACACGTAATTGCACATACATAGAAATAATATTGACGTTAGTCATAACAAATGTAAAACAATATAATTTTGAAAAGTTCAATTGTATATGATGTAAATCTGTATATACATTCTTATATCGTCATATCAATAGTAATACATATTTATTCGACTTATTTGAAAAATCAAATTAAACATGTTTGTGTCTAAACATTGTAGACGATAACCTTTAAGTTATTCGTTAATTTTCATATTTAAATAAAGAAATTTTTATAGATAAAATATTACGATGAACTTATTGTGGAAATTCTGTATTGAATTTGTAATATTATTACCATTGACAAATACATTATCCATCATCCCAACTTTGAACCGAAATCCAATTTATTCAAATTCATTATGCAATCAAAATTTCACAATATTTAATAATCCTTTAAGTAAATTATTTTCTCTTTTTTACACATCAAGCTATACTTTATCATTCGATTTTAAAAATAAAATAAAATATATCATTACTAGTCAAATTAGTGTTTATTTTTCGCTCAATCATTAAAGTTCTATAGGAAAAAAATATCCATACTTAATCAATGTTAGTAGATTAAGATGAATATATACATAAAAGAATTCTTATTTAATTATATTAATTTCAAAAATTTATTTTTAGTTCCAAGAATATTGGGTAACACCGATACTTTACAAATATGTCACGATATCGAAAATGCTATTAGCTATGAATCACAAGTATTCTATTTATATGATCCAAGATATTATGACGACATTCATCATTATAGTATTAGTTCAACTAATTTTTCAGTTTGTAGTGTTGAACCTGGTACAACTAATGATTTGGCAATTATTGTAAGTAAATTTCATTCGATATGTTTTAATGTTAAACAATATAGATAGAGATCTATGAAAATTTTAGATGAAAATAATTGGAAAAAATCGTGTTCCATTTGGTATCAAAAGTGGTGGACATAGTTTAAATCCTGGATTTAGTTCAACAAAAGATGTTCATATTTCTATGCTACGTTTTAGCCAAGTTAATTATAATCCAACGGATCAAACTGTTGATGTCGGTCCAGGATTAGTTTGGAATGATGTTTATAAACAACTACAACCATTCAATGTCAGTGTTCTCGGTGGTCGCGTTTCTAATGTTGGTGTTGGTGGATTTCTTCTTGGTGGTGGTTATGGATGGAAATCAAATCAATATGGCCTTTCTATTGATACTATATTGGAATATGAAGTAAATATTTGATTTTCTACAAAGAAATGAAAAGTTTCTGTTATTTAATAAAGTTAGTAACACCAAATGGTACAATTGTAAATGTTAATAATCAAACATATCCCGATCTATATTTTGGTCTTAAAGGTGGTTTAAATAATTTTGGTATTGTTACAAATTTTAAAATGCGTGCATTACCACAAACTCTGGTATATGGTGGTGTACTTTTGTATGATTTCTTAGAAATAAATAATATATTAAATGCTGCTGTTAACTTTCAACATAATAATCAAGATCCAAAAGCTCAAATTTTATGTGATTTCACCAGTCTTGGGGGTTCAGTTGCTATAAATATAATTGCATTCTATGACGCTCCAACAGCTCCACCGAATACATTCGATATATTTACATCTATTGCGCATCTTGGCAAACTTCAAACTCGTTCATTTTTATCTCTTGTTCAAGCATCACCGGTTGTTATTACAGAAAATATGCGGTAAGTCATAATTACTACGATATATTTCATAGAAAATATCTATTCGATAAGGAAACAATCTATTTAATATACTGAGATTACTCAATCTAATGTAATCTATTATATATATATATATGAATAATAAAGAATTCTTTCTAATTATCTAATTATATATTAATCTTCGATTAGATTTATTAGTGAATTAAATATTCTAATTGAACTAAATACTTTATTAATTATTATTCTTGATTATTAGTTAGATTTTCATATCAAAATCTATTTGTTTTATTTCATAAAAGCATCGAAAATTTTTAAAATAGATATTTTTTTCTAGGAACTTTATCTACAAATGTTCGAAAGCTCTCTTGATCTGCACTATATACATGTCCTTATTTGTTTTATTCTTACTTTATACAGTATATTGTACTTTGTCTTTGTTGATCGTTTCTTTTCATATTCTTTTCTTCCCTCCGATCGGTGAGTATCTACATCAAAATGAGTCAATTCTTGTTCAAGAATAATATAATAAAGTGTAAAACATATCACATTAGAAAAAAAACTCGTATCAAGCATTTTTTAATAGGTTTATTTAAAAAAACTAAACATATTCATAATTTATTATTGTAGTGGCCGTTTTCATACAATATCAGTTTCAAATATTAGCAAACCAGTAGTGGAAAAAGTACGAGATCTATTTATTGAATATACTTTAGCAAGTATTCCATATGGAAGAACTTTGGTTAATTTTGATGTTGAACCATTTCTCCCATCTTATTTTGAAAAGTCACAAGGTGGTGCATATCCTCATTCACCATCGAATCCACTTTTTCCCATCGTGGTTCAGTTTGGTTGGCAATCAGAATTAGATGATCAAGTTTTTATTAATGCTACTCAAACAGTGGCAGAAGCTATTTTAGAAGCAGCAATTCAAGATGGTCAAGATCTTAGTGGTTCAAAAGAAATTCTTTATCCAAATTATGCACTTGACAATACTCCATTAATTAAAATGTATGGAAAAAATCTTGATCGATTAAAATCTATTCGTCAACAATGGGATCCAGAAAATATTATGTATCTTACTGGAGGATTTAAATTCTAATTATATAATATTTACATATCAAACATTTTTAACATTTTCTTTTTCTTTTATGTATTATTTATTAATATTTAAAATATATTCGAATTAACTACAAATAATTAATATGAAATTTTATATTTCTAGTAATAAATTTCTTGATCTTAAGTATTTATTAATAAGCTCAAAATAAATTTGTTAATATATTTTTATCGAATTGATTCTATATGAAAAAATCACGCTATTCAAATGTGACTAAACTTTGCTTCTAAATGAAAAATGTAGTTATGAAATCAAAAAAACTGAGAATATTTTAAGAGTGAAATACCGATGGAGAAATATATTATTGACAATAATGTATTAATTAAAGTTCAGCGAATTTTCTCTGAACACTTCATTCTATTTTGACTAAAAATCTAACAAAGAAATTTCTCATTGAATGCTTATCTGACTACGTAGATAAACTTTAATTTTGATATCATAAAAATAAATCTTTTATTGTTAACGTTCGATGGATCTATATATAACTTCAATATTCAGTTGCAATTATATAAAAACGACTATTCACAATAGATAAACAATTGTTAGATTAATACTAAATTCTAGAGCAGAGTAATTATGAGAAAAAATATTGAACGAGATTAACTGAGATATAGAGAAAAAAGCAAAGAGTTTTCTTTTTATTTGAACAAGTGTATGAGATAGATGAGTTATTCTAGAATATCTTCATGCTAAAATTATCGGCAATGTTTTTTATGTGCATGATTTCTGTTGACTGTTGCTCATCTGAAAAGATATGGGATCGAATACAGCTCATATTTGAAGTCTCTGCCTTTGTTTACTCGAGGACAACCATTTTTCTTATAACTTGATTTTTATTGATTACCGCTCAACCAATGGAGTTTCGAAGCAAACAGAGTACAGATTCAAATTCGCCGATACAGAAAACCTCCAGGTAACATATCTGTGATTGAAAGATAGAGTTCTAATTTTAGGTCAACGAAAGCATTGACAAAATTGAAACGATTTTCTATATAGTTATATTTCCATTTAAGTAACTTACATTTCTTATTTCTTTATGTATTATGTTTCACTTTGTAGCTAGTAAAATTCTCTATCGAATGGTATATAATAAATAGGGTTTTATTCGACTCTAATAGGAAAGTTTCTTATGAGAACAGCGCTGTATCGTTCTTCTCAAAGAAAAACACAGGTAAATATCAATATTTTTGCAATAACTCAGGATTCAGGAATGGTTCTTCTAATTAAGCTGATCTTCGAACTCGATCGAGATATTGATCAGACTGAACTGTAGAAAATTTCACTACAATCTGACTCTCCTTTTGAAAGTTATTGTGGAGATGGACGGACACACTGTTCGATCTGATAAATGTACTCACTTTTTGAGTACACCAATAAAAAGAACGACATATTGGTTCGATAAAATTCAGTTAGACATTTCTTATAAATAAATCATCGAAAATTATGCATTTGTTCTTATTTCCGTGTGACATGCTTTGTTTTATTATTATTTTGTATAACTATGAGTTTTTTGTCATAAATTTAACGAAACAAAACAAATCAAGTTAATGTATGCTTGAAGAATGTAACTGTCTAATGATTCTTACTCATAATAATTGTAAAGATTAATGCTAAAAACGAACAATAGACGGTCATGCGTCAATGCAAAAGAATACTTACCTGCCTATACTTAATTTGTTTGACGTAAATAAAAATAAATAAATAAAAACCATGAGTAATACAGGTTAGAAAGTATAAACTGAATGCAATTTAAATCTATATATAAACCTTGTTTTTTTTCAGTAGCAATAAACGTTTATTTAGTTTAGCTTAAAAATCGTATCAATTATCTTTTGACTCAAACATATTTGTCTAAGGTAATAATTATTATATATTGATAGTATGAAATAAAATATTATATTATAGATAAATTACTATGATGAAATTGTTATGGATATTATATATTAAATTATTATTATTAGCATCAATTAATGCACTGCCTAATATTACATCGTGTAATTCTCTTGGTAAATAATTTCAATAGAAATAATTATTCTTTTATTAAATTTTAAATTAATGAATATGTTAAATAGAAAATTACTACTAATAATAATAAACACTTAGATGATTTATTCCAAAAATATTCTTATACTCGATATTTAATATAGTCCAAATTTTTATTAGAACCATATACTTTCACAAAGTTCAATACTAGGATACCTTAGAGACTAAAAATGGAATTAAAACGGTTATTATTAATATATTCAACATAGATGTAACTGAATGTATTATAAAATCGATTTTATTTTATTTATAGGATTAATTGACAAAAGTAAAATCTTAGCTATTTGTGAAACGATCCAATGTAATGTTAGTCCTGATTCTCAAGTATACTATCCACTGGATTTAAATTATTCTTCTACTATTAGTCACTATGCTATTAGTTCAACTAATTTTTCAGTTTGCAGTGTAGTACCTTGTACAGCTGAAGATTTGTCGATTATTGTAAGTAAATTCAATTCATTTATTTTTAATGTTAAACAATAAATATAGATATATATGAAAATTTAGATAAAAATAATTGGAGTAAATCGCGTTCCATTTGGTATAAAAAGTGGTGGACACAGTTTAAATCCTGGATTTAGTTCAACAGGAGGTATTCAGATTTCTATGCAATGCTTTAGCCAAGTTAATTATAATCCAAATGATGAAACTGTTGATGTGGGTCCAGGATTAGTTTGGGATGATGTTTATAAACAATTGCAACCATACAATGTGACTGTTGTTGGTGGTCGAGTTGTTGGTGTTGGTGTAGGTGGATTTCTTCTTGGTGGTGGTTATTCATGGAAATCAAATCAATATGGTCTTTCTATTGATACTATATTGGAATATGAAGTAAATATTTGATTTTCTATAAAGAAATGAAAAATTTCTTTAAAATTTCTGTTATTTAATAAAGTTAGTAACTCCAAATGGTACAATTGTAAATGTTAATAATCAAACATATCCCGATCTATATTTTGGTCTTAAAGGTGGTTTGAATAATTTTGGTATTGTTACAAATTTTAAAATGCGTGCATTTCCACAAGGTCAAGTATATGGTGGTATACTTTTATATACTGTCGTAGTAATAAATGATTTAGTAAATGCTATTGTTACCTTTCAAACTAATAATCAAGATCCAAAAGCTCAAATTTTATGTGATTTTACCAGTCTTGCGAATTCGTTTGATATAAATATAATTGCATTCTACGATGCTCCAACAGCGCCACCCAATACATTTGACGTATTTACATCTATCCTCCATGAGGGTCAACTGGAAACTCAATCATATTTGTCTCTTGTTCAAGCATCACCAGTTAGTTTTACAAATAATATGCGGTAAGTCATAATTACTGCGATATATTTGTGTTATGCTATGATTTATAGATATCTTTTTCCTTCTTCTTTTCACTTCTCTTTCTCTTCTTATATTTTCCAAACGTTTTCTTGTGATATTGCTCAGGTATTCTCCCTTATCAGTTCCGTTGCATTTTTCCTTATACGTTCAGTACATTGTTGGGTTGTTTAGAAAATAAAACAGACGGTTTGATTTCGATCAGTTAGATTGACTTTCCCGTTAATAGTTTCATAGAAGATATCTATTTAGTGAGAGAACAATAGGGATGTAATAATACC